ATTATTCATTAAAATTATATATATGTTTTCCCAATATTTTTGATAAATACCATTGCCAATATCTAAAAATTACATTTGATTTTTAAAAAATGACATTTAGATGACAGTGAATGATTTAGTCGAATTAACATCGCTCTAGAGTTGTGCAAGAGATGTGTATTTGTTTTAGTGTTTATTAAGTGATTGTGTTATTCCAAATTAACACAAGCTCCACAAATCATAGTTCTTATGTCTCATAATTCTGAGGAATGGTCAAATGACAATGCCCCCACTTGAACTGGCACTTAATTTTCCATGTCCACGCCATACGAAGGACGTTCGAGATGGATTTCTTTATTTAGAATGTCTGTCAAATGACGAAATCTGAGTCGTTATCTATTTTAAGACTCAATGGAAAACAGACACAGACCACGGTCTTTAATGGAACTAGGACAGGAACTCATGAATAATGGAATTACTTACAATTACTGGATGACCATTGTGCTGCCCGAGTCCTTTTATGTTCCGTAAATAATAAATATTTTAATTTCCAATACATTGTATGTATTTGCAATCTGATTTACTTAATGGAATCTTTTCGAAGGGAGTTTTCTGCATATTGTCCAGTTCTTGCTGCCATTTTTACTGTATTTCAAAAGTTTTCTTGTAATTTATGATTTGAAAGGTGGATGTGATAATCAAGCTAAACAAGAGGTTCATATGCTGAATCAATTCTAAACTAATACTTTTTAAAAATACATATATTTATTGCAAATTTCACAATTAGAAACCCTTTTTTCTGGAAAAAAGCCCAACTCCCAATGAAGCAATACAAGATATTCAGAAGTCATCAGCAGATAGCATCACATATATAAATACAACTACTTAATTGCTACACTTGAAGTTTCATCAACAGTTAATCACAACGCTATAACAAAACATTTTCTTCTGCATTGACTAATATACCATTTACAACCAGGCTCACTTGATAGGCGAGTCAGATAAACGCATATTTAATGCCTGATCAGATGGAATAGAGTAATCATTGGAAATAATGAGAAGTTTTCGTGATAATTAGCTACAGTGAAGCGGCAGAATTTAGATATTAGCATTAACTCTTTGTTTCCCATTGGACGTCATGACCATCAATAGTGGCATTACTCATTTGGATGCAAGTGTTGCGGATGTAGAATGATTGAGCAGAAATATTTTGTTCGGCTCGTGGGATTTGAATATTTCATAACATGAAATTCTCATACGCAATTTATTTATATACATTCCACGAAAAAAATGAAAAATATGTGCAGACGTATCAACCTTGAAGCCTTTTTAACTTAAAAACTGTATTATAATTTAATAGACTTTTGTTGCAAAATTAGTTGTCAAAGTCATTTCTATTTATTTACTGTTATTGAAAGAATAATCTCCCTCAGTCCACAAATGACTTTATCGGCAAGAAATGTCCGTAATACTTATACATACGTTTGTGTGTTACGGAAAGATCAAACTTTGCTTTATATGCATATATAAAGAGAGAGGGAGGAGGAGAAAGAAATATACAAATATATAGTTTTCTCTTGACATAAATATCAAATTATTTTTAAATCAGTGCTATGCTCCGAATATTAATACTCACATTGTCTTATATTAACCCGGCACTTCACGCAGGAAAAAAAACGAACGGAACTTCACGCGCAGAATATCTTATACCCAAGGGTGCTTACATTCTGTTTTTACCGTAAAATTTGCATACAAAGATGAAAAGGAGATATAATATGTTTATTACACTTTTCACATGTAAATTTAGTTTTTCTGTTCTTTTTATTAAGGAATTTAGCACATTGTTTATATACTCCTTTAGGCTTCGTGCGTGAGGGCGATGTTTTCACTGGATCTTAAATTTTTTAAAAAATTTCGTAGAAGCAGTGTGTGTGTGTGTGCTTGCTGACTTGTACATTCTTTTTATTCTTCTGTAAATTGAAAGCCAAAACACTTCAGAAATCAGTGTCTGGTTCGATGCTTAGTTGGCGGTTTCTGACAACTTAACAAAATTATTTGCGCATTTATTGTCGCAACGTTCAACAACATAAAAAATATTGTCATAGGTTAACGATTTCATTTGCTAGCCATTGAATATGGTGTGGACATTTTATCAAGGACGAAATTGCTCCCTCAGTTAAATTATCTGGATAGATTTCAATAGAGTAATCATACTTGCTATTATACTCTTCACCTTTCGATTCTTCCTTTCCATACCCGCAAAGAGACTTTCTTCATCCGAAAATACTGTTGTATTAAAATTTATTAAATACTGTATCTATTAAATTACTTAAATATCCCATTTATTCATCATATCTACAATAATGCGCCGTTCTATAAGAAAGATTTTAAAACATGCTCAGGCACGTTAATCTAATTGCGTGTAACGGCAATTCACGCGCAGGGTATGACATACCCGAAGAGGTGGTATCCAAAAATATTCATTTAGATTTCACCTACAAGCTAAGTTCCCCCAAAGGATATGTCCTTAAAGTCAGCTACACGGAAAACTATTCATTTTCCGAAAAAGGTTTAGATGGAGTCTTGAAAAGTGACGTAGTAGTTAAGCGTGGGGGGGGATACCCTGCGCGTGAAGTGCCGGGTTAATTTCGATAATAAATTAGGAAGTCGACGAAAGAGTGGAACATTGAGAATTCGATGAGTATTAAGCTGTTCGTAAAAAGTGATGGTAGTTGATGCACACATTGATCTCAAGCTGCTGTGGATGGATTTTGTCAAGCAATTGTTGTGGTGCAGTCTAAAAAACAACTCTCGTAAAAGTAAGCTAAAGATAACTCTGGCTGTCGCTAAATTATGCGTATGTATCTCATAAATACAACAGAACCGATTTTTAGAAAAATACAGTTTTATTCCGTTATTTTATTTGTAGAATAAAGTAATGCTTAAAGATAGAGATTGTAGAATCTAGGACACAGTACAGCTGCTGTTACAGGTTAAATCCCATGCAATTCCTTTCAAAATCTAATCTGGTTGATATTTTAATGAAGAGCCTCAAGGGTTTTAGCCTTTAACTCAACTTTTTCGTTTTGAGCAAGAATAACTCGAAGGTTATTGACGACATATTTTTCTGAAGCACACGTTTGGAATGACAACGTTGACTCCTGAACTGTCAAAGGTAATTGACTGAAATGAAAAGATCTACCATCAGAAGCTTGTAGCGTAACTTGAATTGAAAGTAAAACAAAGCAAAGCTCACATTTTTGCTCGAGACAAGGATTAAAACTCCATAATTTTATGTTAAACATATTATTAAGTATTCCCCACCCCCTTTGTAGGAATAAATTAGTGTAGTTAAATATAACTTTTGCATATTTAAGTACAAAAAGGTATAACATTTGCATAATTAAAGTACAAAAGCTTTCATAGAGTTAATGAAATAGCTGCAAATTAGGCCTAGTTGTACAATAGAAGAATAAATTCTTGTTTTTTTATAAGGTTTTTGATATAGTTGCCAAGATTCCTTTGTGTGTAACTCGGGAAATTGACTTCTCTCCAACTAGACAGTTTACTTTTTTTTTCAAAGAAAAAAAATACTTTGTATCTTTTTGCGGTACACATTCGACTTTTTCTTTCCTCCGCTGGTCTATATGATTTAGAATTGCAAAGTTTACGGTCTCCGTTCTATTTTTGAAATTGTTATTTTTTCAAGATTCTTAGGAGCCGTTATTAACTAAAAGTTGAAGAATGCCGAATTAATATGTTTCAACAGAAAAAACGATCAATATTGGAAGATTTTAGAACCCTTTTGAGATTTTTTTACATTTGTCAAACTATTCAGGAACACCCAGAGGCTGAAGAATTAAAATTACGATTTCACAACCAGTCTGTATTAAGATGGACTTCATTATAGTTTTGCCCTACAGTGAGACATAAAGTAACAGAGAGATCTCTATCATTAGTTCCTGCTTTCACCCACTAATGAATTTAATTATCAAATATATTTCGGACAAAAATTTTCTCTTAATGTTTGTATTGGATTAAAATAAAAACACACAATATAATATTTAAAAAAAATTAAGTCAATTCCTACTTAGATCAACAAAGAAAACTTTATTTTAGCTCCTTTTTATTAAATAGTTACAATTAATATAAATATGTATATACATATGATAGAATCACTACATTACGTGGTAATTAATTTTTATTAATCATCATAAAAGTATCGTATTGTGATCCAAAACAATCGTGTATATAAAATTTCAGTTCATCTGAATGCTTTAAAACGTGAGAAAAAAAAACCTTTTCAAGTTTTGACACAAGTCGCCAAAAAGGTCGCGAAGTTGCCAAAAATGATGTGAACGTGGCTGCATTTGTAATTCTTTAAATAATTAGTTTTAATCAATTAATTTTTATTAATTATAAGTAAATTACTGTATTGTCATCCAAAATAGCCATGCATATAAAATTTCAGCTCAATCGAGAGATTTAAAATGCATTTTATTAACGATTGAAAATTCCACCAAGATAAATAAATAAATATATAGAGAGTGTAAGCTATATATATATATTATATATATAATAGTAGGAATTGGGAAAAAAACTGTCCTATTAGCGGATATCTGGTAGTTCAAGAATTTTTTATACTATCATTGGGACATGTTTTTTTTTCTTTAATATGAGGCTAGAAAGCTTTAAAATCTATAATTTTAATAAGCAATGGGTTCTATTTGTTGAAAAGGATTTGAAACAAGTAATATAAAAAATATTAAGCCGATAGGTCAACAAAGAAATTTTTTATTTTAGTTACATTTTATTAAACAGTTACAATTAATACAAATATGTATATACGTATGACAGAATCACATTATCAAGTGACAAAACAGAAAGCTACTTTCTTTTTTAATTTCTATCTTTAGTGTTGAACTATTTGTTTTGTTTGCTACTATTTATTCATTAATTAAATTTAATTATACTACTAAAATAGTTTAGTAAAAAAGAAATCACATTCTCAGAAATAAGGCCATCCCATGTGATATTCGAACCCACGACCTTTGGATTAGAAGTTCAACTCGCGCGCGCGCTATCCATTGCGCTAAAGGGACACAACGAACGATTTCCCTTTCTATATAGAATGGTATTGGACTATTATTTTTGTTTGTTACTTCTTATTCGTTAATTAAATTTAAATAATCAATTAGTATTTGTAAAACTGTATTAACATCATGTGTCATCTACTACAAGTTTTAAAAAATGTATTTTTGAACTTGAATGGATGAATAGAAAGTATTTTATTAACGATTGAAAATTTGAACAAGATATCTATATATATATAGTCTAATTCTCTACAGACTCTCTACTCCTACATATATATAATATATATATAGGAAGAGAGTAAACTAATAAGAAGAATTCAAAAAGTTGTGTAGTTACGGAGGAAAAGAGGCTGAAAATTATTTTTTGTAATATAATGAAAAAGAATATAATAGTTAATTTCTCTCTCAATTAATTCGCCGTAATCGAGCGGTAGAGCGATTTAAGAAACGTTTACGACATTGATTACTTTGCAATGTTGTATCAACATTCAGTGATATTGTATTTACACAACTTGTAAACAGATTTCACTAGTTCAAGATCGTTGTGAAAGGGGTGGAGGTGAGCAGACGGTAAATGAGGTTAGTAGGGGGGAAGAGGAACCAGGAAAAAAATCGAAAAATAAACCTCTTTCTCCTGAGAGAATTGACCACCAGACGAGTGCACGCGCACTTTGACCCACATATCCACACCAAAACATATCGATCGCACGGCTGCATCGGGAGAGGATGTGTTGGATGATTGCGCATGCGTAAATGGAAAATTCTAGAAAGTTCTTTAAAATTGAATAAATGCTTATTCGCTATTAAAAATCAGATTTTGATACGAAATAGTTTGTTTACAAACATGCAATTGATAAATAAATGTATTTACTAGAATTTGGAGGGTTCTTTTTTGAAATAAATTAAATAATTTCGGTTATTTCGAAATGTTTTTGACAAAATTATCCAAGCAAGATTTAATTTAAAATTTAGTTAATTACAAAAAAATTTTAATTAAAATTTTCACCTCTCCAAAAAAAAAAGAATTTTTATTTTTCCAAATCATTTTACAAATGAATGTTACAAAATAAACTGCTTTCACTGAATGTTATTTACGTATTTGCTGAACATACGTTTTGTTCACGAAAAATTTACTTCTTTAAAAACGGTTGCTTCAGTTAAAAATTAATTTCAAGGTATTTTTCCGTTGTTTTGGAAACTATGCCTTCAGTTTTGATGGACAGAGTCCGAAAAGAAGAGTAACATTACAAAAGGAAAGGATGTTGACAAATTAACTTATAATAAATTCCTCTCTATAGAAAGTAAATATGAAAATATATATTGATGATTTAATAAGCTATTTTCTTTAAAATTCTGAAAGGTAGGAAAAAATAAAATCTACAACACTCAAAGTTCCTGTACATTGTTTAACCAAAAATGCAATTCCACAATATCGAAAAAAATTTAACAAATTTTCGTGCATTGAATCAACTTTTTTTTAGCACTAAAAAGTTTATAGATAACTTAAATTTAAATTTTAAGAATCTTCAATATCATTTACCATTTTAAAATCAATATCTGTCCATATTTTAGCAAAGAAAAAAAATGTTTATTTAATATAAGAAGTCAAAATATCAAAGGGATTTTACGAAGCCTTTTCAGCACTAATTTAATATTTAGAGAACGGAGTTTAACAGTAACGACTACGTTTTAAACGATTTTACAAATTAATATAAAAAACTCTTAAGTAATGATTTTTAAAAAAAAAAATTAATTTTACTGTTGAAATTCAATAGAAGTACCTCAAATTTGCAAAAAAAATAAATGAATAAAAATAAAAAATAGCGAACAAGAACTCATCATTTGCGAACATGTGCGTTCACCCAATTTTTACTGCTCCGAAGCATTAGGTCGCGCCGCATCGATCCGCTTATGGCCTTTCCAAGGGACCGAAATAAAAAGTGGTCGATATACGAGGTTGTCATAGCAACCACGTCTGGCGGGAAACCCTTCAAAGGTCAAGAGCACGAGGTAGTCTAAAATTAGACACCGCCGCCGCCCGGAAAGAAAGAAAATTGAACAATCCTTTTGCAACGCATACGCGCATCATCGCTTGCCGGATTCTTGTCAGCTGAGACAGATTGCAACTAACAGCTTAGTGCTCATTTTTTTTTCAAAGCTCAGATGTAATACAAGTATTATTTCGTACCCGAACGCTGCATTAAATAAAATAGGATCACACACACACAAATGCAAAAGTTTAATTTATAAAATCTTTCTCTAGTTTATTTTATTTAAGAGTCCAATTCATTCCATGTTAATTTTTAATTGTTTCGTCGTCCGAATTGGCGACAACATTAGAAGATATACGAGGGCAATTGGGAGAGCACTCCATAATTCTGAAGCAAGATAACGTGACGAAGACAATAGCTAAGCTAATACTTCATTCTCTAAATTCCCGTACCGAACTTGTATGTTCTCGAAAAATAATAAATTTATTAAGATTTACAGGGTTAAAAGAGACATCAAAACACTTTACAAATACAAAATAGTGGCCACGGATTCAAAGTTGGCGTGTCAGTAATTTGAGTCCCGTTGGGCCCTGTAGAACCGCCATGTAAGAGCTGTAACACGTTGGAGAGGGGGGCTGCTACTTCAGACGTCGTTCTCGTCACTTGATTAAGGTTCAAAATTATGAAGCCCGACCAATAGCCGTCATGTAGCTTTGTAGTGCAACGTTAAGAATCAGTGAACCTATACAAAATGACCCGCGAAAATCCTTCCCACGTAACTCTTTTTAAAACTTACGTTCCAAAGACAGGTCCTTAAAAACTAGAATACTTCTGTAGAAAATCGTACAAAACATTTCCTACTATAGTTAATATTAGATTCCACATCATATATATATATATATATATATATATATTAACAAATATCTAGCGCAGAGGTGGCGAAACTTTATGGATCAATGTGCCATTTTCTTTCTCAAGAAGTGTTTAATGAGGTATAGACGTGCCGTGAAATAGTTTTGACTTGTGATTACTGAAGAAATAATAAAACTAAGGACTAAAAACTCAAAATTCTTTATTTGCTACGAAAAAATACCTTTTACACTGTATAGCTATAAACGCTTTAGTTACATATGTAATTCAAATTAAAATAACATTAGTGTGATTTCGGCTGTTGCAGATTAGATGACAAATAACTTATATTAAGATTGTAAGATGTTACTTTTAGTAGAATGCATGATGAAGTGGAGTCATCAGCCAAATGGTTTCTAAGCAATTAATTATTTATGCTGTGGTTCACTTTTTTGACGAGAGTTTTTGTGATTTGTCTCAAAATGCCGTTTTACAAACTGTTCCAGAACATAAAACATACACCACTTGTGTGTCGCCTTTATTAATCATGCCATATTTCTAGATTCATCGTTTGAAATTTTCGGTTACACTATCTTGCACTTTTTGTTCTTTTGCTAAACAAGCCATGTTAAATAACAGTAAAAAATCAATAATATATCACAAATAAACTTTAAAATACAGTTGCGTCGACGAAATTAACTATGCTATGTTTAGACAAATTTTGTATCAGAAGCAACTGTAGTCCAAGATGTAACTAAGACAATAACAAAAGAGTGTGCTCCCCGCCGTGGAGATCCGACGCATTTGTTCGTAATATTTCATAGTGAATTTTGTTATCTAATATATATTATAAATATAAAAGTTTGTGAGGATCTTTGTGGGTCTTTCACGCAAAAACAACTGAATGGATTTTAATGAAATTTTACAGTAATATAGCTTATACATCAGAATAACACATAGGCTATAATTTATAAAAATTTGTAAAAAGTGTCCAAAATATAACGATATTTGTCAAGTAAGTAGGAAAAAATTCTGGATCTGCAAGCAAATCTGGCTTGCGCTGCAAAAAAGCCCACGTCAGCATATATCTCTTTTGTTTGGGAAAATCTCTTCTTGTTTTGGCCACGCAAGGGGCTCGCTTCTAATTAATTCCTCTGATCAGCATAATGCCTATTTTTTTTATTTCAGAATAAAACTAAGTTTTGAAGGGAGAGGTTGTTATAAATCTCTCTTTCTTTTAATGGTTTTTTTCATGATTTTATTATGCACATTTGGTAGTAAGAAATTGATTTTTTTTTCAAAATAAATGCTTTTATCGGTTCTGGTACTTAAAGTAAATAAACTTTCTCTTTCACACTGCATCACTTGGACAAATTTTCAAAATTTGTTTGTGGTTAGTAGTTAATTATAACGCTATAATTTTAATTGAATAGGCAGATATTGCGTTTTTAAGAATAAAAATAATTATAACTACTGTACTGTATTTTTTGGAGTGTGTGAGTGAGTGAATATTAACATCACACTGTTCAGCTACACGAGGGCTTTTGGCAACATATCATGTGTTTTGAACCATGGTCAAGTGACGTGGACAACACCTGAGCTGGCACCCCCTTCTCCTAACTACCACACCACACCAACTTAGAAGGAATATTCTACCAATACTTAGCTTTAATATTCTTTGAAATCCACTCTTCCAAGATATATGGCAGCACGGGTTCTATGATGAGTATCTTAGCGGTGAAGCCGAATAGTTTTGTAGCAGATATTGCGTTTTCAGCTGACGACGTTTTCAGCGGATTGCAAAGATTATTATTTTTGTCCCGAAAAAACACTTTATGGCAAAATTTAAGTATCTTATGTTTTTGTATGTTAGTGAAGACCTTGGAAAATAATTTGACTACTTATTTTAAGTGAACGGTGTATATAATTAATTTTACAGTGGAATATCTTTAATTAATTTATTAGCTCTAACGGATTAAATTTTCCGAAGTGGAGTATTTTGTTTATGTATATCCCTTAATTTGTAAATGTAGTGATCCAAAAAAAATATTGTATGAAAAAAAACTGCAGTAAATCATAATGCGGTTGGATAAAGTATTAAAGTGCATTTCTCCCCTACACGGCGGGTCTTACAAAGCTCTAATAAAGCTCGAACTACGAAAGTAGCTA